GAGGGTCCAGTGACCCTGCTTGGCCCTCCTTTAATGAATGAGCACAACTGTCAACAAGCCCAATTGTGACTATGTTTAGCAATCAGGCTCAGCAGAAGTAGTGATGATGGTAGTGTATTTCATGCAGAAGGGACTGCTGTATAGCATCAGCTTATTAAAAGGACCTAGAAAGTGAATCTTTTTTTTAAAAAAGGAAGAGAGTGGAGATGAAAAAGGAGATAAATTAATTTTCTAATCTGCCTTCAAGACCTCAGCTGCAGCAACAGTCTGTCTGAGTTTACATTAGCCTGTAGCCTTGTGGCCAGGGCGTAGTGGAATAGTTATGGAATAGCTTTGGTATACAATCAGAGCAGGAGAGAAACTGCAGACAGTCAAGTGTGGTATATCCAGAATACTCACACTTGGTTTTTCATTGACAGGTCAACTGCATGGCCATGGCCAAGAGACTGTGGGGACACTGGACCTTGGGGGGGCCTCCACCCAAATTACATTCCTCCCCCAGTTTGAGGTGAGTCATTTACATGAAGGTCTTCATTGACAGCACAAGGCATCATGGCATCAAAAAAGTGGCACCCCATTTTGAGATACCTCTACCATGAATAGGTTGAGTGGTCAGTGGCTAGATAAAAAATCTCTGGAGTTCTTCAAACCTTGGGAGATGAGTAGCTTAACCTTCCCCATCTCTGATTTATTTTGAGGGGAGGGACATGGATGGTGGTGATAAAATCCTCAGATAATTGCATTGCAGATCCTGAATCATTTTTTTGCTTTTTCTGATTTGCAGAAAACCCTGGAACAAACACCTAGGGGCTACCTCACATCCTTTGAGATGTTTAACAGCACTTTCAAGCTCTATACACATAGGTGAGGAGAGGGATAGGGAGAATAATAGTTTACATTATATAATTTTCCTAACTTTTCAAAGCATTTTCATACTTATTATTGTAGCTTGTCAGCCTTATAAAGTCTTTGCCAGTTCCCTAAGGCCTATTAACTGAAACCTAAGCCATATACCAAACATGAGAAACTTAGAAGCCTTCCCCATTTGGGGCCTCAAAAGTTTGTGATATAAGTGTTAAGTATTCTTTAAAGGGGGTACATGGAGAAGGCTCAGCCAGAGCTCTGTATCAATTTATTTGATCTGGTCTTCAGATGTTCAGAAACCAGCCTGGAATTTGATCTCAGTAGGGATAGGAGCTAAGATAATGAGTGAGGGCTTTTCTGGATGGCTCTCAGGGGGGATCACTAGGAATAATCACATCCCTTTGTATCGTACCTGTAGGCAGTTCTTACTGTATGCAAATTGCAGGAATCTTCTCTTATTGGTCATTGGGAATAAATATGTCACGGAGATACAGCAAGGTTTTCATCTCTCCAAGAGTCAGAGAAACCACATTACATTTGAAAAAAGTAGCTTTGGGCTGGAGAACTTTAGGACCAGCATGAAATTGGTCAATCCTATATTTTACAGTTACTTGGGATTTGGATTGAAAGCTGCAAGACTAGCAACTCTGGGAGCCCTGGAAACAGAAGGTTTGTCTGAGTACCAGTGCGTGGTGGGAGATGGTGAGAGTGATACCAATACTCAGCTCGCCTCCTCCCTTCCTTGGCATTCATTCTATGGAGGAAATGGTTGTTGAATTAGGAAGCATGTGCTGCATATTGTGCATAAAAATGGAAAATTTCTTATTTATAATTGCTGATGCTGTAGTATATATTAATTACTTTAGAATGTGCTTTATTTATACAGGGGTAACAACCTGTTTTTAGGAGGCTGAAGCCTTGACAGTATTTGTAAGAACTTGCACAAGCCCTTATCAGGAAGCAGTCTGTTCTGTTTGCCAAGTGGAATGACTGAGCAATTCCATTTCTCTCTTCACAATTGCCTACAGGCAGAACTGGCTGTGTTTTGAGACAAATTATTAACCTTTATTTGCCCTATTCCTTACCTTAAACATGGCTTTATATCTAATGCACCTTGGGCAGTGTCTGGCTCACACTAAGCTAGTACTGGAATGAAAGAATGAACAGCAGAGTTTACTAACTAGACATCTTCAAGTGTGTTTCATTAAAAATCTCAGCTACCTGTGAAGGAATTTTTCCCACTATAGAAAGCAAGGAACTTACTTTACTTTCGAGATGAGATGAAAACAATGGACCCTCTGCCACAGGTGCATGTGCATGAAAATTTGCCTCTAGTTTCAGAGGGTTTACCACTACTACAAAGCCTATGAACCCTCAGTTCAGAATTCATATCACAGATTAAGATTATAAACCGCAGTCTGTTGGTTATTCCTTTCAGCATTGTCTTGCTTACCTTCCTTCTTCTCGCACATATTTGCCTTTTTGTGTTGTGGTTCCTTTCAGGGATTGAAGGACATACTTTCCGGAGTGCCTGTTTACCAAGACAGTTGGAAGCAGAGTGGATTTTCGGGGGTGTGAAATACCAGTATGGCGGCAACCAAGAAGGTGAATGATAATGATATTTTCCTCACTGGTTGAAATTACCTTTATAGTACAAGTTCTGGAAAAGTTCCATAGGAAAGCTTTTCCAGAGCTCAAGAGAAACTTAGCACATTACAAGAACTTATTCCATAGATCTTGGTATGCCTCCAAGGACTAATGTGAAGGGGCAGCAAGCAAGACAGTTGTTAACTCTGCATCCTATTCTTTCCTTGGTTGAGTCCTGTGGCATTGTTAGAAACCTGTTGGTGGGGCTGGAGAGATGGCTCAGTGGCTAAGAGCACTGACTGTTCTTGCGGAGCATCCGGGTTTGGTTCCAAGCACTCACATGGCTGCTAACAACCATCTATAGCTCCAGTTCCAGGGGACCTGACACCTTCTTCTGATCTCCACAGACACTGCATGCATGGGTGCACTTACACATAGCAAAACACTCATACACATTAAATAACACGCATGCACATTAAATAAATAAATTAAATAAATAAATAAATAAATTTTTCAAAAAAGAAACCTGTTTGCAACCTGAGTCTAGTGCAGCAATGTTAAACCCTGTTTCAGGTTCAGTTAGCTATTTCAATCACAGTAAAACTTAAAACCGAAGTAAGAAGAATCATTCATTTTAGATACTATAAAAGGCATAGATGTTAAAGTTGAGGGAAATTTTAAAGGAGACAGGTGAACCTTATGGATAACTGCTCACAGTGACCAAGTGGTAGTCAGTAGCACACTGGCCGAGACTGCAGCTCTGCCTGCTGAACACAAGTTAAGGAGAGGAGCTGCCATGGATAGACAGGTTGAAGAACTTTGCTCACCTGTTTCTAAGCCTTCTTTTCTGAGGTTCAGCTGCCTTACTCTGTTTCTTTGGGGTTTTGTTTTTTTCTTTTCAGCCAGTTTTGTGTTTTAGGGTTGCAGAGACTCAGGCCTTGACCTTGTACTTAAACAGCTACTCCTTCCCCTTCTGCTTGTTTTTTAATTTTTTGTTTTAATTTTTCTTTTTTAAATTTTTTTTTTTTCTGGAGTTGAGGACTGAACCCAGGGCCTTGCGCTTGCTAGGCAAGAGCTCTACCACTGAGTTAAATCCCCAACCCCTTCTTTTTTAATTTTAAAAGTTTTGTTACTTAAAAATATTTTTACTTATGTGTGTCTGTGTGGGGGTATGTGCATATGAGTGTATTGCCTTTGGAGACCAGAGAGGTGTTGGATCCCTTGGAGCTGGAGTTAAAGATGTTTGTGAGCTAACTGATGTGGGTGCTGGGCACTGAATTCGGGTCCTCTAAAAGGGCAATATGTGCTCTTAACCAATGAGCCATCATTCCATCCCCTTATTTTTCTTATTTTTGATGTGTATGTGCATGTGCATGTCTGTATGTGTCTATGTGAGTGAATTCCACATGTGTGCTGGTGCCCCAAGAAGCCAAAATGAGTGTCAGATCCCTTGGAGCTGGAGTTACAGGCAGTTGTGAGCCACCTGATACAGGTGCTAGGAACAGAACTTGGGTCCTCTAGAAGAACAGCAAGTCCTCTTAACTTCTAAGCTGTCTCTGCAGCCCACCCCCAACCCCATTCACTCCACTGCTGCTTCTTGGTCAGTGAGCTAGCGGCACATGCCTCTGGTTTTCTGTGGCCTACTTGCCCTTGTAGAATTTCCTGAGGGTTTTCTTTCTGAGTCCAGTTAACGACAATGAGGACATAGTCAGTGGATTTGTGAACAACTCAGATTTTGGAGAACTTGGACCCTGTGCCATCTGTCACTTTAGCAATGCACAGGCAAGACAGCTTCACCTTCAGACTATCTATTTCAGTAGCTCCTCCTCTTTTCTGACTTAATCTTAGCCAGTGCTGTGCTGCTTCCTCCTGCCTGGCACTGCCTGAGTCAAAGGCTGAGCTTCAATCTTCTTGTTTTTCTTGCTCTTCCTTATTGGCTCTAGCAACTTGCTGCAAAAAGTGTCCCTGATCTTATCATTAAGGATGTACACTTTTGCTCTGACAGGGGAGATAGGCTTTGAGCCCTGCTACGCCGAAGTGCTGAAGGTGGTACAAGGAAAACTTCACCAGCCAGAGGAGGTCCGGGGAAGCTCTTTTTATGCTTTCTCCTACTATTATGATCGAGCTGCTGATACACATTTGATTGGTGAGTTCATGCCTGGCATCAGACTAGGAAAGAAAGAAGATAGAACTATGGTGGAGGAAGGTCAAATAGATCATTTGAAAGGTAATGAAGTAATTTCCCAGCTCTTTTCTAGTAGTGTTGTACTGGCCACGAGAATGGAAGGGTGATTATACTCATGGTCTTTAGGAGCTAGAAGACAATCCAGACAACTGTATATAAAGTGTTTGTGAGTGACAGGATTTTACTTTGTATCCTAGGCTAGCCTTGACTAAGTATTGGAAAGAAATGATTTGAAGAAGTAAGGACTAAGTATTGGAAAGAAACAATTTAAAGAAGTAAGGATTTCTTTTGGATTGTGGTTTCAGAGGTTTAGGCCATTGTCAACAATTTCATTGTTTCTAGGTCATGGTGAGGCAGAAAACAATGGTGGAAGGGCCTGGAGGAGAAAAGTTGCTCACCTAATGGCAGCCAGGAAGCAGAGAAAGGCAAGAGAAGGGACCTAGAACAAGATACAGCCCCCGGCACACACTCCCATTGACCCACTTTCTCCAACTGCATCCCACCTACAGAAGTTCCAACTACCTCCAATAGTGCCATGAAGTTATGAATACATCTATAGCTTAATACACTGATGAAGGCAGAGGCTTCATGGTCCAGTCACCTCTCAGTGATTAGGACCCTCACTATTTGGGGACCAAGCCATCAACACATGAGCCTGTGGGAGACATTTCATATCCAAACCATAACAAATTGACATACAGTAAATGCATGTGTTGATAGCATATAGTTTGCCAAATTTTGTCATGTATACACCTATGAAACCTCACTACTACATTGAAAATAATGAATATCATATCACCTGAATTTCCTCCTGCTCTTTGAAGACTACTTTTTTCTTCTTACCGAAATTAAATTTTTGTTTAGCTGTGAGGATATACATATATGATCTATGATCTGCCTTGACCTGAAAAGTATGAATTGCTTTCCTATTTACTGTATATATTAAAAATGTTGGGGCTGAAGAGAGTGCAGTGGTTATGAGCCAATAAAATTTTAAAAATCCTCTTCTGACAGCAAAAAATTTTTTTAATTAAGTATTTTTAATATTTTTTAACATATGTGTATGTGTGTATGCCTTCATGAATATGTGCCACATGCAGGTGCCCATGGAGACCAGAGGGCTCCTCTTCTGTTTGTAACTCCTCTGGTGCTGGAGTTACAGGCAGTTGTGAGCTGCCTGATGTAGGTGTTGGGAACCCAACCCAGGTCCTCTTCAAGAGCACTTATTGCTCTTAACCCCTGAGCCATCGCTCCAGCGTGTTTACTATAGTTCTTAAATGAACTGATTTTTTTGTTGTTCTTTGTTTTGGGTCTTTTTTTGATTCAGGGTCTCCCTGTAGCCTCAGCTGGCCTGGAACTCACTATGTAGACCAGTTTGGCCTCAAACTCAGAGATCTGCCTGCCTCTGCCTCCTGAGTGCTGGGACTAAAGGGATGCACCACCATGCCTGGCCTGAATGAACTTATTTTTTTATTGTGGTTAAATGTACATAATACAAAATAGATAAGTGCATTAATTATAAATAAAATAGGCAGCATGGATTTGTATTGTATAGATGTCATGTTTGTGTATCACAATCCCTAATGTTGGAAATTTTGTATATTTCTAGCTTTTATTATAAATATCACTAGGATAAATTTCCTTGTTTCCTTGAAGCTTTTTGGCATCAGCTATTTGTTCTGTTTCATTTCAGATTATGAAAAGGGGGGTGTTTTAAAAGTTGAAGATTTTGAAAGAAAAGCCAGGGAAGGTAAGTGTCCGGAAGCTCTTGAAGTTGAATCATGAGGTATGGCTGCCGGCTCCAGTGTCCTAAAGCACCAGCCATCTCAGAAGCCTCTTGGGACTGGCTTCCTTCTGGGCCTGCTAGTCTGCTGGACAGTGCATTAGATGGTGGCAAGAAAAAGAATATGTGAATAGCCGGGCATGGTGGCGCACACCTTTAATCCCAGCACTTGGGAGGCAGAGGCAGGCGGATCTCTGTGAGTTCAAGGCCAGCCTGGTCTACATAGTGTGTTCCAGGATAGCTGGGGCTATAGGGAGACCCTGTCTCAAAAAGACCAAAAAAAAAAAAAAGAAAAGAATGGGAATATAAGACACTTAGAGGAAATGGTATTTCTACATTTTTTTCAATTATTATTATTGTTGTTTGTGGGTTGTCTTTTCTTTTTAGAGATAGGGTATAAATATGTAGCCTTGGCTGATCACTTTTCAGACCAGGTTGGTCTCAGATTCACAAAGGTCTACCTGCTTCTGCCTTCTGAGTGCTGGAATTAAATGTATGCACCAGCCTTTGTGGTTTTTAGACAAATTCTTATGTATCTCAGGCTGGCCTCAAACTTGCTAGGTAGCTAAGGATGACTTTGAACTCCTGATCATCCTGCCTCCACCTCTCAAGCGCTGGGATTACAGGCATGTGTTACCATGACTGGTTTATGTGACAGTAGGGGCTGAATACAGTCTTAAGACATGCTAGGCAGGCATTCTAACAACTGAACCCCATTCTCAGCCCTGTCTCATTTTTAAAAATTGAAATAGGGTAATTAACAGTAATGAAAAACTGGGTACCAGAATACATGGGAAATACTCACATGGGCTTCCTTGAGACAATCAATCTAAAATACAATGATGTTATCCAATGACCATGGGAGAAGGTTAAATTATATTTTTCTGTCTTCTGGGCTTCAGTAGGGGACTTGGTACTAATTGATCACAGTAGGTCATAGAAATCAGACAGAGTGCTGAGAGTATAGCTCAGTGACTGTGAACTTGCCCAGCATGTGCAAGGTCCTAGGTTTGATCTCTAGCAGAGATTCTCTCCCCCTCCTCCAACCCCCAATTGTCAAATAAGCTAGGATGCATATAAATATGAAATTTTGTCATACCAGAAATGTGCAGATTCTAATAAAACTGCAGTTTTGCAGAGGCAATCAGTCTAGTCTCAAAAGAGGCCAAGGCACCAACAAAATGGAGACTTTTTGCTCCCTCAACCCGTCTATATTTAGAGAAGACTATATTTCTAAGTTGCAAACTTGAACTCTGTTTGCTCTCTCACTTTTAGTATGTGATAACTTGGAGAACTTCTCCTCAGGCAGTCCTTTCCTGTGCATGGATCTCAGCTACATCACAGCTTTATTAAAAGATGGCTTTGGCTTTACAGACAGCACCCTCTTACAGGTAAGTGATAGAGCACTGGAATTTATAACTTTTCTTTTGTGGGTATTAGAAAGAACTTATGACTGCCAGGCGTGGTGGCGCATGCCTTTAATCCTAGCACTCGGGAGGCAGAAGCAGGTGGATCTCTGTGAGTTCAAGGCCAGCCTGGTCTACATAGTGAGTTCCAGGACAGCTGGGGCTACAGGGAGACCCTACTTCAAAAAGACAAAAAAAAAAAAGAACGAACTTATGAGGCTCAAGAGATTGCTCAGTGGTTAAGAGCACTGACTGCTCTTGCAGAGGACCCAGGTTCAAGTTCCACATGGCAGCTAACAACTGTCCGTTAACTCCAGTTTCAGGGGATCTGACACCTTCTTCTGACCTCCATGGGCACTGCATGACATGGGTGCATTTATATACATGCAGGCAATACACTCATACACATAAAAATAAAATAATTAAAAAAAGAAAGAACTTACTTAGAAATTAGAGTTGCTATAGATTCTGGGGATGGTCTTAGTTGGACTGTGATCATGGTACCTTTCTAAGTACCCTGAATGTGAGAAATTACTCATGCAGTGTAGCTTCTTGAGTATACCACCACACAGGCTATCCCAGAGGACACAGAATAGAAAGACTTGGAGCCCACTGAAGATGCTCAATTCACATTGTTTATTATGTCACTTTAGAATTTGGTGAGAAGCAATGAGAAAGATAGGAGAAATAAATGCCCAGAATACAGTGCAAGTTGGAAGTGCCATGCTTCCTGAATCCTGGGTTCCTGAGTTTGTATGCCTTCACTCACCTGAACTGATTGAGTGGTTATAAGAACTTCAGCTGAAGTTTGACCAAAAGAGCACAAAAAGTACCTGGGGCCATCACACAAACTTGTATTCAGAGAGGCCCTGAGACAGATATACTTGGCTAATAAACTTTAACTTACCCTTTGGCCCATTTGACAGAAGACATGAGGGACCAAAATGGTGTCATGATTGAATGGCTAACACCATGACTGCCTCAGGCATATATAGTATATACTCCATATATTTTATATATGTTGGATACTTAGTGCCTCTTGAACATAGGTTCTTGTCTTTCTAACCCTCTTCATTGATTCTTAGTACTTGCAAACTCTGCTTCATCTGTAACAAGTTATTTGTTCTAAAATGTATCATGAATTTCATCCATCCCATTCATTTCCTTACTTTCTATACCATAATTGGATAATTAAAATTATACTTACAAAGATAGTTAAAATGTTACCCTTGTTCTTGCCCGGCATGATGATGCATGCCTTTAATCTCAGCAGATCTCTATGAGATCAGAGCCAGCCTGGTCTACATAGTAAGTTCCAGGCCAGCTGGGGCTACAGGGAGACCCTGCCTCAAAAAAGGACCTCCCCTCAAATGTTATCCTTGTTCTTAAGTAGCATGTAATCTATTAGAGGAGATTCAACAAAGCCATAGCTGTGGCACAGGCAGCTTTGTGAAATTTAGGGACAAGTGAGTAGACTGTAGTTTGTCCTCTAAGCCCTTCTTCTTCTAACCTTCCCTTGTGCCATGTCCTGTTTCTCCAGTTTCAGAGGTTTATTTTGCCCCATTTGTCATGTTAATACAGATTTCATAAAGTCATTCCTACTAAAAGGCTGGGTATGGTAGCACACACCTTTGATCCTAGCAGGAAACTGAGATCTCTGTGAGTTTAAGACCAGTCTGGTTTACATAGTGAATTCCAGACCAGTCAAGGCTACTAGGGAGACCCTGTCTCAAAAACAAAACCAAAAGCCAGGCGTAGTGATGTACACCTTTAATCCCAGCACTCAGGAGGCAGAGGCAGGTGGATCTCTGGAGTTCAAGGCCAGCCTGATCTACATAGTGAGTTCCAGGACAGCTGGGGCTACAGGGAGACCCTGTCTCAAAAAGACCAAAAAAAATTTTATTTTTCTCAGCTAGGTATGGTGGCACACACCTTTAATCCCAGCACTTGGGCAGGTGGATCTCTGAGCTCGAGGCCAGCCTGGTCTACACAGTTGAGTTCCAGGTCAGCTGCTACAGGGTCTTCTGAGCATGATGCCACAAGCTCGTAATCCCAGCACTCAGGAAGCAGTGGCGGGAGGATCATAGCAAATTTGAAAGCAGCTTGGTCTACATGGAAAGTTCCAGGCTAGCCAGGGCTAGAGAGTGTCTTTAAAAAAAAAAGAGATAGTTTTCATGCAGTTTTGGATACTGGCATCCCTTCAATCTCTGATTTTAGTGAAGACAGAATTTAAGTCAGGGATGCTCAATCTCTGTCTCAGAATCATGTCTCAGAGAAAGCTTCATCTTGACATCTCTGTCCACATGTTGCCAGCAGTGCCAGGGACAAAGGAAGAGCATTTTGGTGGTGTGGGGTACTCCCAGTTTGATTCAGGACTCCCAGACTGTCTCAAGATAATGTTTTGTGGTTTTTTTTTTTTTTTGAGACAGGGTCTCCCTATAGCCCCAGCTGGCCTGGAACTCACTATGTAGACTAAGTTGACCTTGAACTTACAGAGATCCACCTGCTCCTGCCTCCAGAGGGCTAGGATTAAAAGCATGCACCACCATACCTTGCTAGGATGATGTTTTAAATGCCATTCTTACTTATTGGAGCATGGCAAATAGACAAAGATAAACCACTGGTTTTCAAACTTGTTTTGGTGGTCATAGTACATCATTAACAAAAAGCTTATGAGGCATGTAACATGAACTGATAGAAGTAGCTGAAGCAGAGGATAGGGGCCTGGAACTCCTTTACCATTTGACCTCCCTTTCTCATCAAAGCATTTCCATGAATTTCCTAGGATTCTGAAGAAAACAATTTGATAAATACTAACCTAATGCTTTTCTGTAACTGGGCAAAACTTTAGAGCTGATTTCTTCAAAGCTATAAAGGCACTGAGCTACCAAAGCACAACCTGGTCCAGAATGCTTCACATGCCTTGGTTGGTTATTATTAGTGCTTAAGGGACAGTTGCTTACCTAACATGAATCAAAAAGCTTGGTAATGTACTCCCCTACCCCTAAATATATCCCCAGCTCTTGATAATTGCCTTTCTACTACATCTATTAATATTACATTACAATTTGTCTTGTCAGAAATTTGTGATTCAGAAAATAAAGCAGGGGGTATAGTCTAGGGACTAAGGAGAGTTCAGAAGCCCATCTGACAAGATCTCTCTAAAAGTCCTGGATGTTACTACTACCTTGGCCTGACATTCTCAGGGATCAACCAGCATGCTGGGCCTGGGTACAGGGACAATAAGGCCACATGGACACCCTCTACAGACATTATCTGTCCAAAGGACATGCTTGTTCAAATTGAAAATTGGATGAAGACTCTTTCTTTTTTTCTCTTCTACAGCTAACAAAGAAAGTGAATAACATAGAGACAGGCTGGGCCTTAGGAGCCACCTTTCACCTGTTGCAGTCTCTGGGCATCTCCAACTGAAGCCAAGTACTTCCTCCAAAGCCTGCATTTGTCAGTAACCTTTTTAAGGGGAGAAGCAGCAATGATTCTGGTATTTTTTTGAACTACTGTGGTGACAGCCTGGACTGAAACCCAGAAACTGGCTTTATCAGGAGGAATAGGTTTTTGTAAATGAGCCTTGACCCTAGAGCCTAAAGATTTGGGTTTAATCAATTTGTACCTCTAATGTGAATGACTCTGTAACCACTTAGCAGGGTGCACAGTTGGCACTACAATGTATTAGAGAGTCTTTGTGTGTCACAGAGAGCCCTGTGAGGGCAAGGAGAAGAAAAAAAGCTTTCGAATTCCACGTTAGAGAGCTCAGGTACAGGTCCTTGGGAACCAAAGAAAAATCTCATTTCAACCCTTGGAGTGCCTCATTCCTTTGAACATTTTAATTTCCTATTTAATAAGATAAATTGAGCTGATTTACTGCAATCCTATAACCTATCAATACTATTTTCTTCCTCAAACTTTATATTACCTACCCTAAAAACATAACAAAAAAAGTAAACCTGGTTTTGCTTTCTGCCTGTAATTTAGTATGAAAAAACAAAGGGCACTATATTAGAAATTGTGTGATCCTTTTGCATAGTAGATCCAACCAGCCAGCTTAGAGCTAACCTAACTAAATATTTTAAATTTTTACTTATTTTTTAGATAGGAGGCCCTTGTTATGTTACTCAGGCTGGCTTGGAACTTGCTATGTAACCCAGGTTGCCTTGAATTCTCCTGCCTCAGCCTCCTGAGTCCTGGGACTATAGGCATGAGCCCCACTGCCCAACTCATCTTAAATCTTAACAACATGGAGAGTAACTTTGAACTGTACCTAGATTACAGCTCTAAGAAAGAAGGCCATCCAGGCTCAAAGAACATACATTACAGAGTGGAGCTGCTTATACCCTACCATCTTTACTCAAGTTCTGTCAGTCAACTTGGATTAATGAACATATCCAATTTTACAGATAACATACATTTTCACTCCCAGCCCCACCTCCCAAGCTAATGTGTTTATATTATTAAACATGATCCTAGCTGGGCCTGGTGGTGCACGCCTTTAGTCCTAGCACTCAGAGATTGAGGCTGGTGGATCTCTGTGAGTTTGAGGCCAACCTGGTCTATATAGTGAGTTCCAGACCAAAAGAAAAACTAAACTAAACATGATCCTAAACTTTTTGTCTTTGTTTTTTTTTTTGTTTTGGTTTTTTTTTTTTTTTTTTTTTTTTTGAAAAAAGGGCCCTTTTTTTTTTTTTCTTTTTTTTTTTTTTTTTTTTGTGTGGGTTGTTGGGTGGTGT